GGGTTCAGGGGATCTCGTAGTCGAGCAGTCTCGACTAGAGTTTTCTTACTTGTTTAGATTAAAATTTATGTATAAATAAAAATCAAAGTTTACTTATAGTCAGAAATTCTTTAAAAGAATATTTGAGAAATAAATAAAATATATGTTGAATATAATATGTATATAAACTAAATATATATTCTGTTTAGTTAGCCAAGTTAGTAGATAGTAAATAGCTGACCTTTAGAATCGACTCTACTGTTCGCTATGGCAATTGTTATTGCTATTGTTTTGTATGATATTTCCATTCAATCTTGCGCGCTGAGCAACAACAATCACAACGCGTTCACAATTGATTTTCACTTTCCATAGAGGCACAACCAGAAGCGAAGCTAATGAGCAAAAAACGGGCTTTTCAAAGAAACTGAATCTAGCACTTGTCTTAAATCCATTTTAAAAGATATTTTTGGAGTTGCAAATAAACCGAAAAGGGGAAAAAACAACACTCTGACCAAAAGCCGAAAGACAAACAGTAACAAGTTAAGAAGCTCACGACTTTAAAGACTTTAACAATAGACGCGACCTTGAACAAACGTTTCGACAAAAAAAGAAGAGAAATATAAAACTCAGAGAGAGAGAAAAAAACCTAACATTTGACTGCAGCAGAATGGAATTATTCTGGTCTGGCGAGTCGGACCAATAAAAGCATCGCTAATTAATGCCAATTTCAATATAATTCCACGCAAGTTGCGAGCTCTAGAGTTTTATTGGCGCAAATTGAGCGCAAGCCGCAGGGAGTTGAGTTGGGAGCCAACTGCGAATACTCTGCCAATGCTCGGCTCCATTCACATTTTTGTGATTTTCGTTTTTTGCATTGGGACGCTAATTACGCTTTGTTCTCGCAATTGGACATGTGCAGATACAAATACAGATATTGATACAGCCACAGATAGCAAGGCACACATACGTATGCCCATGCGCTGTGCAGATCCAGATGGCGAGGCAGCTTCAGCTGTTCGTGCCTCATCTGTCATAAAAGGCGAACTTCTTAATTTTTACTGCGTCATTTTCATCATTGTCATGCCCTGGGCTTGGGCCGCCGCACTAGGGGACTGGTCTGGCCTGGTCTGGCTTGGTCTCTGGGTAGCATTTCGCAAAGGCTGCTCAGTTTCAGTGCCGAGTTTACAGCATCTCGGCTCGAGTCTGAATCTGAGTCTGAGTCGGAGTCTGGGTCTGGGTCTGGGTATGGGTATGGGCTTGCACTTTTTTTCGCCGCCTCAACGGAGGTGAGAGATGCTGATGAGGTTTTTCGCAAGTCATCGGGTAACTGTGACTGCCAGCAGTGAGCCGTGTGCCTGGTCTGGCCTCTGCGGCATATTGGAAACTTAATCGTGGACTTGCCATTGAAATTCAGTTACAAGGCTGGCCACGTTTCCAGTGTGCTTGTTTTACTATGAGCATAAATATGAATACTAGTGCGAATGCGAGAGCGACTATCTCTGTGTATGTGTGTGTGCTTGAATACTAGCTTGCTGCTGCTATTGAATGTTTTTATGTGGAACGTGAACGCGGCGATCAACTTAGCACTCGACGTATTAGCTGAGCTCTCGTGCATAAAATCAATATTCAGCGCATATTCATGCTACTTATGCTCATAGATATAAGTGAGTGCTTTTATGAGTGCACAAGTGCATTCATTTGATTAGCATAATTTATTATGCAGCTCAAGCGATTCTTGATTAAGGTGAAGGTAAAATAAATTCAGTAAAATATTTAAATTTATACTAAAAATAAAATAATAAAATTATATTATAAAAATTATCTTAATAATATAATAAAAAAAATTATATTTATATAATATTGAGATAAAGAATCAACATAATATAATAATAATAACGAAAACTCATCAACTTGTTGACAATAATAATTAGCAGAAGAATTAGATAGATTATTATCTACTACGAATTATATATTGTATACTAGGAATAATTATAAACGATTTCTGAATTACGAATCATTCATTATGGCTTCATGCTATAATTTAACATGAATGTTTTCTACACCTGCAGAAAAATTGTCAACACTTTACAACTATTAAGCAAATTGTAGGAATGTCAAATGTTTTCCTAAATACTTAAACTTTCGCAAATTATGGGGCTGCTTCCAGCTGTTATTATTGTTGTGCCTATGGCTGTATTTGTTGTTGTTTTCGCTGTTGTTGTTGTGGCCGAAAGGCGTATTAAACAAATTGGATGGGCGCAGTTCTCGGACCACACGCCACCTGATACGCACGCCAAGCCGTGTAGCTATGTATATGTATTTTGGGTCTAGGCAAGCGCTAACTGAGTGTAAGTCATTTGTAAAAGAGCTGAGAGCAACAACAACAACAACAACAGCAAGAGCAACAGCGTAGCACCAGCTCAACAGGCAAACGAATTGGTACTGTTGCCTGAGAACCTGGTACTGCGACTGCGACTGCGGCTGCGACTGGGGCTGGGGCTGGGGACAGCCACATTCCGCATAACGAGAGATGATGCACTGGCGATAATCAAGTTTCGTCTTGTTTTCGTAGTCGTGCGCTCATGATAAATGTCACAACATTAACATCAAATGACACGGACCATCCGTCACTCAGTCGGAGTTTTACGTTTGCCCCTGAGCGATCTCTCAGGCGTCCGTCCGTTCGTTTGACTGTCTGTCCGTCTGCCTGCCTGCCGAACTACTTCGATTTGATGCTCATCAGCATAGCTAATCCCCTCGAGTCGCGTTGAGTCGGTGTCGAGATTGTCTCTGGAGTGAGTTTTGAAGCGCGTGGCGAAACCTAATGTTATAATTGCCCATTAGGGTCAAGGTTGTGTTTAATTGGAGTGCAGCGGCTGGCTGCCTAGCTGCATAGTCGCTTCAACTAAGCAAGTATAATACTAATTAAAAAGTCATCCATCAGCTGAGGCCGAGAGCCCGGCCCGAATACAACCTGCATGAACTCATGCCCCGCATGATGATTACGTTGATGATTATGATTGTGTTTATGCAGTTGCCACCTGAGCCTGTCAGCCAATTGTCAGCTGTTCGACTGACATTGCCCCAGGGCCCAATACAGTTCGATATGCGGTAGCCAATTTCCTCGAGAAGAATTAAAACAATAAGCGCTGACAAACGCTGCGACGCGTTTTGATAATGGAACTCAACACATGGCTCAATGAATTTGGTTTTAGGCGCGTTAATGTACCGGCGCGACAATTAATGGTAATTATCTATCGAAGCTGACATTCGAATTCGACCGCACACATACAGAAAGATACACACACAGGCATGTATCAACATATATGTATATGTATGTGTATATGTTGATGTTGGTAGCCAAGTTCATTCGTTCATCGATCAGTGAATGGAAACCTGTTTCTGCAGCCCACATTCGAATCGTTGTTTGGTGTGTGAAAATTTTAGAAACGATATCGAACGCGCTTTGAAATATGTAATTAGAATAAAAGTCGGCATGAATGCGAATGTGTGTGGTAGAAAAACTGTTGGTATTTGTATGTACTGGATATTTAACATCATATATGGTACAGTGAAGCATGTGCACAAGGTCTTTACTATATATTGGAAATGTGCTGCCTTTTGAGAGTTCTTAAAAGGGTTGCCTCAATCTCAATTATGTTTATTATTTAAGAGGAAATGAGTGAAAGTTTCAGTATTTAAAAAAAATATATATATCCAAGTATGTATAAGTTGATTCACATTCAAAAATCATTATGTATATATTATATTTTTCTCACAAGAAGTACTTCAGACATGCTTTTCATGCCTTAGTTGTTATATTCCAAAATATTTATTGTAAAAGTTTCAATGTAATATTTAAATCTAAATCCATTAATCCATATTCATAAATCCATATCCATAAATAGTTTTATAAACAGCATTTAATAAATAAAAGCCCGTTTTAATGATATATTTTGGCGATTGCTGTGAAAGTTTGGCTTTATGAAATCGTCTAGAGCCATGATGGCTACAGAGAAATTTGGCTAAAAATGATTTAACTGAATTTATTGTAGCTTTAAAAGATCTCGAGATTTTTGCTTTGCGTAATATATACAATTCTTATGTATGTAATATAAGTATAGTAAAATTCTGATATTGTATCTAAGATTTTCAAAATGTTGCACTATATGTACATATATTATCATTTGCAGACCGTTTATGATTCAGCTTTTATGATTCCGATCAAGGAATCACTTCCCCAAAACTATTTAACTACATTAAAAGTTCATGACAATTATTAATAAACAAATTCAGGGAATCACTTCATTAAGAACTTAAGCTTATAAATTCAATTAGAAAATGTTCATTTCATATGCAGAAGCTTTTGCTGTGCACTAATTAGGTCTTAAATCAGTTTTCAACGAGGCAAAAACTCATTTAAGCAGCACAATTGTTATCCATACAGGAAAACAGTGACGAATCCACTTAAAGACACTTCAAGTGTTGAAAGAGCACCAAAGAGGCCTTATTTAGTCGACTGGCAGTTGCATACAGAAACATACATAGATACATATGTATTCCTATAGTATGAATATGTCACTCGCCATATACATTTTTGCCCTCAGCAGAAGGCGCGCCATTCTTGATTTTGATTAATGAGCGCACAGAGTTGCTTTTTTTTCGTTTTTGGGGTCTTTTAGTTTTCATTTTAATTTTGCCAAAGTCGAGCATTCGAGCATTACAAAGTCTGTCAGTGGATCATGTGGGTGTTGGCAGCTAAGTAATTTAATTAGCATACAAAAATGGGGCACGTTGTCTGTGATGGGTGCATCTTTAGGTATTGGGTTTGGGATTGTGGGAGCACAACTTACCAACGCCCGCTACGTGAATCTTCTTCATCCAGGGGTAAATGATGCGCTCCCCGTCGGTTGTCTCCGCCATCAGATCGTCTTCGCTGTCTGAATCACCCAGATCGTCATCGTTGTCGTTGGACGCCAACTCGTCTGGGGATCGATCGAGCATCAGGCGATCCTCTTCCGACATATCCTGCACAAATCAAAGCACATTAGTCTATTCACTTGGTTAACCTATTTCTGGTTTCAATTACATTTTCTGATCCCATATCATCACAGTGTAACACTTCCTGCAGTTGCTGACCAGTGGGCGCGGCTTCTTCGAGTCGCTTCTCTAGCTTTAAACCTGTTGGCAGAGTATTCAAATTATTAAGAATCGAACTCATTGCTTAAACAAAATTAGCGTACTGCAAACATTTCTTGAAAACTTAATTTTCAATTGTTAAAGAAAACTCATAATTTGAAAATAAAGATTCTGATTTCCATTCAAAAGTGTATATATTCCAGTATATAGAACAAATATGTATCTTTCAGGAATATATATTATAGATATATAATATATAGCTTGTTTTGACTGTTTAGAATAGACAACTCTGTGATGTTTCCAGACCTTGATATAAATTTTGCATTGATTAGGTAAAATAGATAAATTCGATTTTAAATATTGAATATTGCATGGCTACAATTTTCTATTTGGTTCATTAGACTAAATATGCAACAAAATCTAATTTCAATCGGAAAAATTTGGATAATTAGGACATTAGCTTAATGATGTTTTTGTAGCTCTAGATTTTTTGTTTATAAAATTGTCGACGTATAATATATTTATAAATGTAAACTCGTTTAAAAATGCATATATTATGTCATGAGCTGTTTCTATTTTTATACCCTGAACCCATTCTTTATATTTATTTTGTTCAATATCTAAATATCTATAAATAAGTGCTTCATATAGGATTATTCTTAAAAAGTTATAGCTGCTGTTAATAATTGATTTAAGTCTAACAAATATAGCTTCTGATACATTTATTCATCTATGAAAAAATGTTACTATTTTGCTAATTTAATATCTACATTTTTAAGGCAAATATACAAAAATATTTTGAGTCAACAGCTCTAAGATAAGAATTAAATCGTAAAGCTTTAATTATTTTGTATATATAAGATATATAAATATAAATAAAATTTGTTTATATATAAAAATTTAAAATTAAAAATGAACTACAAAACATAAATAATATTATAAATATTATAGTTCAAGAAATAAATAAATAATTTATTAAATAAAGCATAATTTGTCTTTTGTATGAATAATAGCTTTTTCATATATTCTAAACGAATTTCTTCGGTAAATCTCAACTAAAATATGTATAAATAGACTCACCTAATTCCTGCAGACCCAGCGAGGTGTTCGTTGGTGGCTCCGTCGAGGAGCATTGCAGTGGCAGGTCCATCATCTGTGAGGAGAGGGGCGAATGGCCTTGGGAGTGGGTGCTGCCCACACTGCCGTTTGTGGTGCCATAGTAGCCGCCGTAGTATCCATTCGAGCCGTTAGCACTGCTGCTGTTTGGCACGTTTACCGACGGCGGCGGCCCGTAACCGGCTTCAGAGTGCACCACTCCGGCCGATATATATTCGGGTGCGTGGTGCACGGCTGCAGCGGCCGCCGCCGCGGCATGGTGGCCATAATAGCCCAGACTCTGGTGCGGATGCGAATGCGGATGGTGCGTGGGCGGCGTTGTGGCGTAGTTTGTGGTGTAGCCCGTGTTCTGGTGATGGTGGCCAGAGAGCGCGCTGTTGCTGTGATGGTGCGAGTGCGGGAGCGGGTTATGGTTGTGGTGATGCGCTGCGGCGGCCATATAATCATTGACCATTTCCGCCGGATGCGTAGCGTGCGGGTGCCCAGACATACCAGGGCCGCCGCCACCGAGCCCAACGCCCCCACCACCGACACCACCGCCGCCACCACCGCCGCCGACACCAACACCAACGCCACCCATGTGACCCGTCGAGGCGGTCATGGAGTAGTGGCCATTGTAGTGATGATAGTCATCGGCAACCGGCGGGAACTTCGGTTCTAGCCCATTGCCCATGGACATGGGGCTCTGGACATGATGTGGCGCATGTGGATAGCCCATGAGGAATGAGCTCATTGTAGTTTCTGTATTTGTGTCGTGGATAAAACTTAAACTCTGGCTAGACTCAGCTCAGCTAGTCGTTGAGCGCATATTTCACTTGAATATTCACTTATTGGCACTCAATTTCTGTTGCACTCTGCCCTTTTTCAAATATTTTATTTATTTATTTTCATTTGTGTGTGATCACGATATTTGGTGTGTGGCCAGCATTGCTTTAATGCGGGGGCTCTGTTTATTGAACACAGCGCGAAAGTCGCGCAACCGGCGCGTAAAAAACGTAGAAACCAAGCGGCGTCGTAAATAATAAAAATGCCAAACAATTTTACAGCGGCGTTCAGAAAACATTCAAATATACCGAAAAAAAGCGAATCGTCCGATTCACGAGTGCGAAAGCGAACCGTTCAATTCGAGCCGTTCTTTTGTTATGAATACGAACGAACGCTCTGAGCGCGAGCGAACCTGTTTTCTGTTTTCCTTGTCCACGTTTGCTTCGACTGCTTTTCGCCTCTCTCTCTCTCCTCATTTAAGCGCTCGCTCACTCACTCTCTCTCTCTCTGTCTCTCTTACCGAAGCGCAGCGTGCAAATCGCCATTGCCATTGACAGGCAGCGATGACGTCGACGAGTTTCAAAACTCGATTTACTGGTTTTTGTTTTTGTTTCAACACGAACAACAACAACAGTGGCCAAAGGACAGCCCACACGCAGCGAGAACTTCGTAGCCATGGCTGCACGCCATTTTCAACCACCGAGCGCCGTGCTAGTTGGTAGAGTGGAGAATAATAATGTGCAAGCGAGATGACACGACATTTAGTCACACCCATTCGACGATGTTGATGCTTGCCGTGCGAGCTCTACAGGCATGGCTATAATAATGGGCATACCATGATAAATTATGGAAATGTACATAGTTTAGGCCAGCTATTGGTTGTTAATCTCATTTAATTAGAACCAACAGATAAATTATTTAGGCAGATAAGTCATTTATCTCATATCGTAGTTACTATATTATTATTTATTTTTTAATTTATCATTTATTTTAAGTTACAATTTATTTGCACATATATTTATATATGTATTTATTTATATATTTGGATTGAAAAAAAAGTTATATATTTCGTTTAAGATTCTCTTTTATTTTTTAATAAATTAAATTTTGGTATTGAATAATTTAAAAATATATTTTATATCCATAAGTTAATGTAAACGAATGATTTAATATATGCGTGTCATCATTTCTATATATTGGAGTCCACTGTTAATCAACGGCATGCACTCTTTATTAGAGTCGACTGTTTACTGTTGAGGGTATAACAAGAAAACACAGTGTGCTGTTGTGTGAGCGCTAGTGAGTGTAAATAGTACGAGTGCGAGCGTGAGCGTGAGTATGAATGTTGCTTTTGTGGTATTCGGTCATGGCGCACGCTCAAAAACCGAAAAACTGCCCTCGCCATCTCACAGCGTGCGTGGCCAACAAGCACCGCCTACTTTTCACTGTGCCTTTCATCGATCCCGCATGTGAATATGGCAGGCCGGACCATTTATTTTCCATAGACCAAAAACGGATGCAATCCGAGACTGTTTTGTCTGCGAGCTACTGTCGTATCGATCGCGGCGATGCGATGGCCGGGACTGTTTGCGAGGTGTTGATATGAATTGCTCGTCTTTTGGCTACCGATTCCGATTCGGATTCCGATTCAAGAGGCTCTACTTAAAAACATATACACCAGTCCAAGCACACACACACAAAAAGTTCGATAGGCCTGGGCTGACTTGCAATATTTGCCCATTGCCATTGAATGTTGAATGAATATCACCGCACTTGCCGCAATGTTTCATTTTTATTGTGGTTAGTCTCTGAGTGAGGGGGGAGGCGGGTGGATGCTGATGTTGTTTATTGGTGCTGCTGCTGCTGCTGTTGTTGTTGTAGTTGTTGTTATCATTACTACCGTGATTTGTATTGTTGCTGAAAATGTTGATGAAATGATGAGCATGACTGGCAAATATTCAAATGAGGCGGTCACACACATGAAAAATCGATAGAATGATTGTTGTATAATGCACATAAAGAAGGTCGAGCATTAAACGCTTTAATATTCTTACACCTAAATATTTAGACTCTCTCGTTCAACAACAAACGCATCTTCAACATATTTAATCCATTGAGATTCTAATATATGAGTCACACTTCTGCCATGTGCCCACTATATACAAATGTATAAATGTGGGTGAGTGTTTGGATCGTCTAATTGCCGAATAATTGAACCCATTCCAGAGTAGCACACGTGCTATGCCCAGACCTGTCTGTGTGTTAGTGTGTGTGTGTGCTTGGGTATGAGTGTGGGTGGGTGAATACTAATTAATCGACTTCCAACTGATTCGAATTTGATGGTGGCTATCAAAAGTTAATTAGGACCATTAAGTGCATAAAACTCTAAATTTATTAGCTTACTGAATGTCCCACAATTGTTGATTTTCAGTCGTTAACAATTAACTTTTTTGAACAACTAATGTTGGTCAATTGACATATTTAAAAATTATAGTGAATGTAATGGAAATTTACTTTGATCAGCCTGTGTTACAAAATGATATAACTATGTTTATGAATATAGAGCAATGGATAGAAATACCAACTCAACTGTAATAATTCCCTGTGAAATTCAAATTTCTTTTTTCTTTAACATTAAAAAAAAAAACTTAAAATGGATAATTGCTAAGAGGTTTTTTATGTCGATATCCGCTATTCCATTTAGCACATAAATTTTTTTAAAGACTCGAATATTAAATATTACAATATATAACTATACGACTCTCGATATCCAATATTCCATTTTGCAGATTACCTAACGATATGTAGAGATTTTATATGGTCCCGGTTTTTATTAAGACTCGAATATAAAATATTAAAATGTACGAGTATGGGAGTTTCGATACACAGTATTCCATTTTACATATTTGCCTATATTTAATATTTAGAAAAACTCTACATCTATCTATCTACTCTATATCTTTTTCTAGTCAGTCATTTTTCCACAGATTAGTTTGTAGTACAAAAGCTCTTTGAAATTTGAAGATAAAATAGTTCCTTAAGCTAATCTCGTAATGTAAGATGATTAATTAGCACTTCTAACTATTTAGTTGGTAAACAGCTCCATGGTTATATAAAAACTTTATAATAATAATTTATATTGATATCATATTCAAACAAGATATTGGAAATATATTGGGATTCTAACAAATGGCAATGTATTATAATAAAGATCCGCTGGGATTAGCACTTCATACTTAATACTTTAGCTTATATCCCTCACATCATGAGAAAACATTAGCTCAGGTCTCTTAAAACTTGTCAAATTTTATGCAAACGTGAGCGAAAGTTAAAATGTATTCAAGAACTCCTTGGGTTGACACAGCCTTAAGTGCGTCTATTCTCATGTTATGTGTGATGTGGAGCTGCTTTTGATGTTTTCAAGGAGTAACCGCATTAGTGGCTGCTCCACTGAATTTCCTTTATGGTGCTGGCTGGCTGCCCAAATCGAAAGAGCGTTGAAAGGCGGGCGGGGGGGCTGGCCCACCGAAAGAGCTTTGTGTCTGGCATGAGTCGAGGCTGGGGTGGGAGAACGGCGACGGCAGTGGGTGCTGTGGCCGCTGTGGCTGTTTGCACAGCATTTGAGTTCCAAATCCCAATTCAGAGCCAGCAATCAGTTGCGACTGTCAGGCGGCAAAGGAAGTTCACTTGCTGCACAAGGCAAATGTGATTAATGGTTCTATGCGAGCCACATTATGTGTGCCCTGTCGTGTGGCGCAGTTCGACTTGGGTCGCATTCGCATTCGTTTGCTCACTCGTATTGCTCTTCTTCTTTATTGTCTTTTTCATCTCCTGCTCTCCTTCTCCCTCTCTCTCTTCCTCCATCTCTCTCTCTCTCTCTCTCTCTCTCTGTCTCTCTTTCATTCTTTCTTTCAATCTATCCCTTTCTCCTTTAAGCTACCCATCAAATAGATTTTTATATCAAATTAAGCAACCTGAGAACTTTTTCCGACTACATTGTATGACATCGTTATGTATATGAGTTTTATCCACATAAATCCAATTACTTTATTCTTATATACTGACTTCTTTTATATAAACCGTTTGCATATTTCGATTATGATATAAGTAAATTTCAACGAGATTCGGTGGTGAATTTAGAGATGTGTTGAATAAATTTCCATGCGTCAGTAAATTAACTCAAGGAAACATTAATTTCAAGAGCTAGAAACTATGACTTTCTACTGACTCCAGTATTTTTTTCAATTGATGCAAATGATGCTTTAAAAAATTTGAGCAAGACCTAAAATATTCACTTCAATCGGAATGAAAAACAATAATCAAAAGAATTCCATAGAGTCTTGAGAGAGGAATTCCCAAATTTTGCTATAAATCATATTGATGCGCATAGTTATGCCGAAAAGGAAGTCACAATCAGAGGACCAATCAGGAATTTATAAAAGTATTTATTGATTGTTAAAGCTCGACTGGCTTCAGTTTAAAGTCCGCACTCCCCGTGCTCTGGTCTGCTTAGCATGTAAATTGGTTTAACGACATGTTGACAAGTGAGATTGAAGGCGGCGACAAGTGTGGGAACCGAATGCTGATTAGCTGGATAGGCCTTATCGCAGTCAGCTACCGAGTGCTAGGCGATGAGCTTATGGCTGGGCAGGAGACGGAGCAGGAGCCATCTGTGGAGGCATTGCAATGATTGATTGAGTGATTAATGATTGACTGTGCAGCCTGCGTCAATCACTGGCGACGCAATTAAAGCTCGAAATGTGACTTTTATGGGCTTTAAATTGAAGTTTCGAACATGATTTGAAAGTTGGCAAATTGGACAAGTGCTCGACTAACGGATCGTCCATTTTGTGGCCGACATGTGTGCATTATGGCCAAGACTGAGGGCCAATTAAGTATGTCTCCATATGTGTGTGTGTGTGTCTCATTTGGATGCCATTGGGAGAAACGCTTGTCCATTTATCAACT